AAAAAATAGAAAGAGGCAGAAAATGTTCAATGATGAATTTGAACACTTGCTTTGCTATCTTTGACAGTAACGAGTTACTGAGCTGAAAGAGTACTGCATAGACATATATAGACTTACATTTACATGACCATTCATATACCTACATTCCCATACATAGACTATATAGACTTGTTTGCACATACACATGCATAAATACACATACAAAGACTTATATAGACCTACTTACAGGAACAGGACAAGGCTTGATTTAAGAATAAGCTCTGAACTAGCGATGCTATTAGATTAAATTGATTTAAGAACGCCACGGCTTGGCTAGTGATGCAATTAAACAACCGCTGCAACACAGCGCCTTTGAACACAATCAAGTAGTTAAACCACCTGGACAGCTTTTTTTTCAGGTATGAAATCGGCGTGTGTGGTGAGGTATTGATCTTCGGACACCCTCTGACTGTCCTATTTCTCTAGTGTCAGTCTGCTTGATAATTCGTGTGGTTATTGAACGGGTCAGAGGCTAAGGCATTTCTGTTCTTTTGTGTGCAACAGATGCAAAGAAATACAACAGATGCAGGCAGTTTTCTAAATGGTTGCTCAAGTAGTGTGTACTCGGTGGCGTAGCTAGGGTTGGTGTCAAGCGGTGCGGTAAACTCATGGTGTCAACCCCTCCTCCCCCCCCCCCGACTTCCAAGATGGATTTCTTCTTGTTAAAATAAGCTCACAGTATAATAATGACAAGAACAAAAATAAATCATTAATCGAAGGTCAGGAGGTCAATGTATTTAAGAACTGTAACAACGTTAAGTTATAGTTATTTTTACATTAAATTTACATTACTTACAATTTTCCTTTCCTGGTCTTCAAAGTTGAAAACCTGTGAATCACTTTATCAAAATCAATAGCCGTCACCGTATCTCTTTTAATGGTTAGCAGAGCCAGGTCAGACCGTTTTGTCTGTCCCATGGTTGATTGAATATTATACTTAGTAAGCCTTATTTTTTAAAAGCTCCGCTCACATGTGGACACACAGAGCGTAAGAAACAGTTGAAGGCGTACGGAGCGAGAGTGTTGGAAGAGATTCTATGAAGTCCTATTCAGCTATACATTTCAAAAAATCAAATACTGACCACTCCAAGACTTTTTGAAATTCAGGATCAGACTCCTTAAGGTGTCTTCTAAGCTTTGGTATTTCTTTCACAAGTTCGTCTTCTTATTACGCAACATAGAAAGAGGTTAATTTTGGAACGGACACCAATAACTCCTCTTCACTTGCTGATAATAGAGTCTTGTGTTGGACGGACACGTAACATATCTGTTATTTCCGTTATGGCTGATGATTTGATCAGGGGTTCACAATGCAAGCGATCAACTCATTCCAGCATCTCCATACTGTTTTCTTCAGCCAGAGAGAGTCCATCATCTATTAATTACACTCCTGCCATTCTCTTTAATCCTCTCTCTACCAAAAAATCCACATTGGTCTGATTTTTAAAAGTGCATTTTCATTAGCATGTTCCACCACGTGACAGCGCTTTTCGTGCAGAAACAATCTTAAGGCCTCTATGTGTGTTACCGATGCGTTTCATGTACTTAGAATCTCCCGACCACATCGTACTTGGCTTCAGTGAAAGCTCCCTTCCTGTGTAAAACCTCCCTTTTACGACCTTTAAATGGCCATTAAAACGAGGTCGTAAATTGAAGGGGTCTTAAAAAAGAGGTCGTAAATTGAAGGGGTCTTAAAAAAGAGGTAGCATATTTTCGAGAAACGACATTTAGAAAATTAAGTAAACAAGTAAAAAAAAAATACACATACTGTGACGTGACAGTTCGTTATCTAGGGATTGGTCCCCTGCGTACTAGCCACAGACCAATTTGTAAGGGCCTAGAACCCATGTTTTCTAGCCCTTACAGAGCTGATGGTCTGAATAGTCCAAGTATTTAACAAACGATGCATAGATTCAGGTTGTTCTTATTTATTTGCTACATATGCATAACAGTGGACAACTTCATAAGAAATAATCTCTGGTGCTCAGAATAAACAAATGGGTCCAGAAAATGCTGCACATGCTATATAAAATATAGTTACATAAGTCCTCTGCCATCCATAGAAAATAATCACTCTCTACACAAAACTAACTTCCTTACATCCAAAACCACAGCACTCGCCGCTGTCTTGCTCTCAAAAAACTCCTTTTTCACACACTCCTATCATCACATGGTTCCTCCCGACACACCCCCACAGTCATACATGACCGAGAAAAAACTCGTAGGGCTCAAGGGAAAAAAAAAACCCACCCACGATTGCTCAATTAACCTCATAAAAGCAGACACAGGAAAACTCACGCGATCTCACCGTAACATTAAGCAGTGGCAATATCTACCATCTTTCTTCTAGAAATATAAATTAAACTCTGTCTCACAACCAATAATAAAGTCACTGTCTTTTTGTTCCTCATTAATTCCAAAATAAAAATCAATGCTGGCGTGGTAGTTGTTTAAAAGCATGTGTAAGTGCTGAGTACATGCTTAGGGTTAGATCTATATCTATTTATGTATACGATAAGCGCATTAATATTGTTGTAATTATTTTTATTAAATCATTGAAAAAAAAAATCGATTTTTTAAAAAAAAATTTTAAAGGAAGCATTTTCTTTTAGTATTTCACTTTGAACACCAGGCATGGTGTCGGCAAGGTCCGAAAGGCCCTTGCCTAGGGCAAATCTGGTCAGCTACTTGGAGTATTTCCTCGCAGTGGAGAAGTTGATAGCTGTTTCTTCATCTTTCCCATCCTCAGTGTCACTGAGCTGGTTATCTTTTGGGGAAGAAGGAGCCTGACTGTCGCTAGTAAGAATGACACATGTGGTCTGGATATTATCGTCACATGAGGCAAACTGGTAAAGGTCGTAAAATTGAATTATTTGAAGGTCGCAAGTCGCGTTGTAGTGGGGGTCGTTTAAGAGCGGTCGCTTATTTAGTACAACGCATCGGTGAATTTGTTTCCGGTCGTATGTTGGAGGAAGTCGTTTAAGAGAGCGTCGCAAAACGGAGGTTTTACTGTATCAACAATGTCTGGGTTCTGTTTTATTACCGTGTCTACTGCTGGTTGTAGCTGCACCTCTGGAACTTCTAAATCAGATTTGAAAATGAAAATTTATTTGCAACATAAATTTGAGGCTGTGTGTCATCTCGTTCAATAGCATCAGCATTGTCTAGAATATTCTTTTAGGACGTCGATGGATAGGGCGAGACACTTCCATTGCATAATACGAAATGGGGAACACACAAAGCGCCCGAGACATACTTTGCTAGATACCACTGCAAAGCTTGCAAGAGTAATGTAACCAGCGTCCTAGGTCCGTGTTCGACAACCTTTTTGAGTCAGGAGTCATTTGGTAAGATATTTTTTGAGTCAGGAGTCATTTGGTAAGATATTTTTTGAGTCATGAGTCATTTGGTAAGATATTTTTTGAGTCAGGAGTCATTTGGTAAGATATTTTTTGAGTCAGGAGTCATTTGGTAAGATATTTTTTGAGTCAGGAGTCATTTGGTAAGATATTTTTTGAGTCAGGAGTCATTTGGTAAGATATTTTTTGAGTCAGGAGTCATTTGGTAAGATATTTTTTGAGTCAGGAGTCATTTGGTAAGATATTTTTTGAGTCAGGAGTCATTTGGTAAGATATTTTTTGAGTCAGGAGTCATTTGGTAAGATATTTTTTCTAGCCGAAGTTAGCGGCGGATTGGTTCAATGTCATTTTAGTTTGAATTTGAATGGAGCTTATCAGCGACAACAACCATTTTACGACTGTCACACTGTAGATGGTAAACCAACCCTACCGTAGTCATCGCTGCCTCAGTACACTCAATCACTCACTCAATCACTCACTCAATCACTCACTCAAACACTCACTCAGTCAATAATAACATCCTCAATATTTCACGTCGTTTGATGGACAAGTTCACAGAGGCAACAATGGCGAGGCTAGTCAGACGATGACAGACAATGGCGAGGCTAGTCAGACAATGACAGACAACGGCGAGGCTATTCAGACAAAGACTGACAACGGCGAGGCTATTCAGACAAAGACTGACAATGGTGAGGCTAGTCAGACAAAGACTGAGAATGGCGAGGCTAATCAGTCTATGGCAGACAAGGGCGAGGCTAGTCAGACAATGACAGACAACGGCCAGGCTAGTCAGACAATAACAGACAATGGCGAGGCTAGTCAGACAAGGACAGACAACGGCGAGGCTAGTCAGACAATGACAGACAACGGTGAGGCTAGTCAGACAATGACAGAACCTGACCTTGATTGCCAATTGCCAATTGTTTTTAATTATTCCCTTAAGCGCTTATTTGCTATTAATATGTTGCATTTGTTGGAAGCTAAAGGTAGCTTTAATCATAAGGAATAATTCTCTAGGTTTTGTATGATTGGTTGCCTGTAACGTTGTGTTCCATCGCCAGGCAAAATTTTGCCAATCATTGCCAAAAGTTTGAACTAATTGGAAGAATTTTAAACTGCATTACTTGAATGGATGACTTGTTAAGTAAATTCAGAAGATGGGAAAGTTCACAGGTAGCAGCTGACAAAAGGATGGCGTTTTTTAACTTCTCTTTGTTATTATAATAATAATAGAAACAAATTGCTGACGTCAATAAGTAGGTTTCAATTATAGACAAGCATGTTATTATTGTAAAATGACGTCAATTCGATAACATATAATGACCACGCTAGTGTCTTTTCGTGACATGATCCAATATTGTGAATGAATTATGTGTGGCAAGAGTACTAACGCCTGCAGGGGGGCACGTGACTCCCATCTTATTAGTGAGCGAGTCGCGTCAGATAGTCAGGGACAGACAATAAATTCTGGAAGTGACTAGAAGTAAATGAGGAATATTCATCATTGTGTCCCCTTAATCATTTCGGGGCGCTGTCATTGAATCCCACCACACTGTCACTATATAATGAACAGCACTTGTAACGTGTATTTCATTCAGCTTGTGGCAGTTCGTGACGGCGGGATAGCCATGATTTTTTCTGTACTAACAGCCGCATTTCTGGGTATGGTATTTACTTCAGTTTAAACAAAAAATCTGTAAAATCTACTTCTACACAGATATCTTACCTAAATGTATTGAGTTCATAACATGTCCAGACACATCAGAATTAAGGACTAGCCCTTTGATCTTCATGAGTAGGTGCTGGCATGGTAATTACTTTTTGTGGGCCACGTGATAACTTTTTTTTAGGAGTCTGAATCTGGATTTCTTTACAATAATTTGAGCACAATTTTAATAAATGATAACAGATAAGCATTGGGATAACAGACAAGCATTGGGATAATGTTTAAACATTCGGTGAATTATGTGATGTTTTGTTTTTTACACTTTGTCAATTTGGAGCTATGTTTATTAATAGCAAAGATTTTCACAGTTAATGAATCACTATTTGTAAATTTTACGAAAACATTAATTCAGTTCCCGGAGGGTCTTGCGGGCCGGATTTCAGTCGGGCAGAGTCGTAGTAAACACCCCCCCCCCCCACCACCAACCCCGCTCTGATCTCACCAAACGACAGTCTTGCTCCTTAAAATCCGTTTGCAGACTGTTTTTGTGTTATTTATTGTAGTAGTTGTATCCACAATATTGTCATTTTGTGGACAATATTAAAAAACAATTAGTTGTGTTCAATTTATTTTGGAACTCCTCATTTCTATTCCATTTGCAGCCATTGTCAGTTCAAATACTCTGGCAGATTCTGTAAGTACAGACCTTTCCCAATTTTTTATTTTATTTTACAGATTAGATGAAATATTTTTTTTTATATTTTATATTTTTACGTCGTAAATGACAAATGACGGAATTGAAGTTGAGAATTGAAGATTATATCCCCATTTTAGTTCTTATTTTTTCATTAAAAACTTGAGCACATGAATTAGATATTAAAATGATTTGTCCCGTATATAAAGACGAGGCAGACGCTGGGGACAACAACGCCCTTCCATTTTACTGTGCAACATTTCCCGTACATTGGTTGCCAGCTTTCACAATACACAGATTCCTTAACATAGTTAGCATTATCTCTCCCAGATAGTACATATTATTTTAAAAAAGAGACTGTGGGAAATTATAATCAAATAATTAAGTCATGATTATACTATGACTGGAAATAAACAGGCAAGCAATGGCGGCGGCATTCATTGAACTTTCCATCGATTTAAATTCCGAAACATTCAAGTGACACGCTTTGTAAGAATCCCCATTAGTGCTTACTTCTGGGAATTTTATTTTGCGCGCCTATTGAACACAGCGTTACAGCGATACACACATTATGTCTAGAGACGAATTATCTGGGACAGGTTTAAAATGATACATTGTTATGTGACTCTTTCAGAGAGCTTCGTATATTCTTCTAAACGTTATATAACCCGTGCGCAATGCATATAATTGCACAGTGCATAATTGTACAGTGCGCAAGGCCTATAATTGTACAGTGCACAATTGTACAGTGCGCAAGGCATATAATTGTACAGTGCGCAAGGCATATAATTGTTTAGTGCGCAAGGCATATAATTGTACAGTGCGCAAGGCATATAATTGCAGTGTATAATTGTACAGTGCGAAAGGCATATAATTGTACAGTGCACAATTGTACAGTGCGCAAGGCATATAACTGTACAGTGCGCAAGGCATATAATTGTTTAGTGCGCAAGGCATATAATTGTACAGTGCGAAAGGCATATAATTGTACAGTGCGCAAGGCATATAATTGTACAGTGCGCAAGGCATATAATTGTACAGTGCGCAGGCATATAATTGTACAGTGCGCAAGGCACATTTTTGCACGGAGCGCAAAGCATATAATTGCACAGTGCGAAAGACATATGATTGCACATTGGACAAGGCACATAATTGCACAACAAGCAAGGCATATAATTGCACAGTGCATAATTGTACCTTCACACTGCGTCTATTGCAGAGGTTGGTAAAATGTGTGACTGGACCGGTAAAAAACAATAGGCCCCCATTCCAACTCCCAGACTCCGGATTCTTATTCCATCGTGTTTTGTTTCAGCTTGATGAATCAGTGGTCAGAGGCAGTCGGGCCTGGAGCCCGCCAGAACTGACCAAGTTATCCAAGTATTGGAAGGCCTTCGCCAAGCGTCGTGTGGAGGCATTGGATCGTTGTGAGAGGCGACTGTTCCTGTACGTCGGCAGACGGAAGATGGCTCAAGGCGCTTTGGTCAGTGTAAGTGACTCACCTTTGGTCAGTGTAAGTGACTCACCTTTGGTCAGTGTAAGTGACTCACCTTTGGTCAGTGTAAGTGACTCACCTTTGGTCAGTGTAAGTGACTCACCTTTGGTCAGTGTAGTAAGTGACTCACCTTTGGTCAGTGTTAGTGACTCACCTTTGGTCAGTATAAGTGACTCACCTTTGGTCAGTGTTAGTGACTCACCTTTGGTCAGTGTAAGTGACTCACCTTTGATCTGTGTAAGTGACTCACCTTTGGTCAGTGTAGTAAGTGACTCACCTTTGGTCAGTGTTAGTGACTCACCTTTGGTCAGTGTAAGTGACTCACCTTTGGTCAATGTAGTAAGTGACTCATCTTTGGTCAGTGTTAGTGACTCACCTTTGGTCAGTGTAAGTGACTCACCTTTGGTCAGTGTAAGTGACTCACCTTTGGTCAGTGTAAGTGACTCACCTTTGGTCAGTGTAAGTGACTCACCTTTGATCAGCTACTTTTTGTCCGTCAGGGTAAGGGGCTACATATAATTGGTCAGTTACTGTAGTTAGTGTATAAGGAACTTGCGATTGGTCAGTTTGCTTTAGCCAGTTTAAATGTACCGCTTTAGTCAGCGTACAGGGTTCTGGTCACAACGATGGTCTTCACCACTCCTATTTGTATTTTTTTTTTACAGCCATCCTTAAAACCATTCTCAAACTTACTTGAGGACAATGTGGATATTTTACCGTCAAGGTCATATTTAACACATTATTTAACTTTACCCAGGTGGCTAGACGGAATGCAGCAGCTGAGCAGACGGACATCAAAAGTGCCCAGGAGGAGACCCGGGCGACGGAGGCGTCCCTAGCAACGTGTGTGAACCAGACGATTGAACTCCAGAAAAATGACACTTTTTATAAGGACTGTAAGTCTGATCCATCACATTACATATCTTCTAGTTACTAATCACCTAGAGAAATATCAAGCTAAAAAAAATTATGCAATGTGGTTTGGAAAATTACTCAAAAAATGTACCGCCCCCGGAACATGGACCAATCGCTCTCAAGATTTTCAGACTAACAAATGGCATGTAATTTACGTGGGGCTCTATCCACGGCGATCGTTCGGTATTTGTGTTTTCATTGGTCTAGCTAAGAATCTATGAACTTTTAATTTTCCGTTTGAACATTTCTTTAATATTAACAATTACATGACTAGTTCTGTTATATGTTAAAACTTTGAAATTCTTCCGGTGAACCACAGCGCATTGAGCCGCGGACCACAAGTCGTGTGGTCCACAGCTTAAGTACCACTTAACTGCCCCGCAAGATGTGTCCAGAAGCATCAAGATTGTGTTTGTGAATCACTGGAAATGTGTTGTTATCCATGACGGTGTTTGTCTAGCTACCAATGGCATTAACCGAACTTAAGTAAACTCGCCCCCCTCACTTCGTTGTGTTTGTATTTCCAATCGCAGATAAGTTACTAACCACCGATGTCCAGCGCCTCACTGACAAGGTCACGTCCTGCACTGAAGCTGGGGGCACGGTGACCCCCACTGTTGTGAGGCGAGAAGTTGATGCTCCTGTGGATGACCAGGTCAGGACATTGTTTATTCAGATCATCACCTTATCTCAATGTATTTTTAAATATTTCATTTATCATAGTGGATGCAATGAAATTTCTATTTGAAAATTTTTTTGTTGAATTTTGTAGTCTATTCTGAGATATAACACCCAAAATGAATCATTATTTTAAAAATGGATGAAATATACTTTAACTAAATAAAATAAATAAAGTTACTTTTTAAAAAAAGTTACTATAGTTATAAAATAATATGACAGGTATGTCTTTCTAGATCAAGCTCTGTATTGTGGGGACATCAAAAAAAAAATATGTTACAAGTATTCCAATTCTTTGACTATGTAGATGCAAACAAAAGCTGCCACTGGGGCCTAAATTTAGGCGCCCTCTTCCCAGAAAAAATAAACATAAATCCTCTTATTTTTCATGAAATAATCCCACCTTTGGCGCCCTCTGTAAGACGGTGCCCCTTTTACCCTTTTCAATAAAACCTTGTTAAAGTAACAGGGAATGCCTGCTTTCAAAAAGTATTGTAATACCTATGTAATATGACGCCTCTGAATCAGGTTGTCCCCCCATCGTCCCCTCAGATGCAGAGAGTCTTTGACAACGTGAAGAGGAAGAAAGACATTAAACTTGCAGAGAAAACAGAGTGCTTTGCATCTCTGGGTAAACCCTCTATACATTTATTTCTGTTTTTGATGAACGATATGAAACATACGATTTTGTGAATGATTGGAAACATACGATTTTGTGAATGATTGGAAACATACGATTTTGTGAATGATTGGAAACATACGATTTTGTGAATGATTGGAAACATACGATATTGTGAATGATCGGAAACATATGATATTGTGAATGTTAGGAAACATATGTTTTTGTGAATGATCGGAAACATACGTTTTTGTGAATGAAAATTTCAGGTGGCTGAAAGTCATTTTTGAAAGAAGGAGAGGCATAACATATTTTTTCACTCTTATATCCAGGTATACCAAGGAATTTCCCATTTCAGCTGGAGTAAAGATTTTGTAGCCTCTATCATTTTACGATAACGCTTGTGACATGCACAGTGGAGGGGAAAATAAGAAAACCACAACGGGAACAGAATTTAAAGAATTTGGAATTTGGAACATAAAATACACAGCGTCTGATAAAGTATCACATATAAATCACAGAAATACCATTAAAATAACTGCAAAAAAAAAAAGAAAAAAAACAACTTACAGTAATAAATAAACAACTGTCTGTTTATGCAGAGGTTATTAAACACAGATAACACGAGATGTTGTAACAAATGTTTTTTAAAATTCTAAAGTGAACGTTGTTTGGGTTAAATTTGTGTTTCTTCTGGTGGCGGCCTTGCTAACAAATTATAGTTGCCCAGTTCTGCCCTTAGATCCGACACTGACACGTTGAAAAGAACGTGTCGCTGTTTATGTTACCTTGGTGGCAGTGTGAGAGCGGCTTCTTGTGGTGTAAGGCAAATACAAGGATTCCCTGTCTGCCTGAGTGTCCTCTAATTTATGAATATCCAATATTTGCCTCTGACCTGTAGATAATAATAATAATAATAAAGTTCATTTCAATAACACGCTTAATCCCTAATTAAGGCTTGAAGCGTGGTACAAAGCCAACCATATTTGACAATTTACATTTTTCCACAACTAAAATACAAATAGCAACAATAAAAAATCTACATTGAGGAATATGAGCAGGCTAGAAACAAGGAGGTAGACTACATCACCCCAGCAGGTGAGTGCGAAAAAGATGTGTAAAAAAACTGTCACCATACGCGGGATTCACCTGTATATTCCGCAGAAAAGATTTTTTGTTGAAATCGAATTCTTACACAATCCCGATTAACCAGGCATAAAACAATTAATTTAACGAGTGCTTGCCCTTAGTTGATCGGAGTCTAACGACGAAACGCCTGTTCCAAAATCTTCCCCCATCCCATCCAAAAAAATCGTACAGTTAGGACAGATGGTGTATTGTAAGCGAAAAGGGTAGGGGTGCCCCCATCACTCGCCACAAGGGTAGGGGTGCTCCCATCACTCGCCACCCCCAACGTAGGGGTGCCCCCATCACTCGCCACCCCATCGCCACTCACTCCACTCAGCATACCGGACCTGTAACTCTGATGCATCAACTCGGGCGACTCTTCAGGTCAGCACGCGGCAGAAGATGAACGAGCGTAAAGAGAAAGTCATGCGACTAAACGCAAACATAACGCAGGACAGACAAACCAAAAAGATGGGAATGCGAGTGGAAAGAAATTTTTGAAGCCGGAAATTCAAGAAAGGTAACAGGGTTGAAACCCTTTTAAAAAGGTTTTTACTGGTTAAGTCCCGGTTAAGTCCCCCAAATAAAGCTTTTACCAAGGAATTATTCTTCCATTTTTTAAAAACATAATTTATCATCTTTCTTGAACAATATTTTAAGTTTATTTGTTTCATTTACGGTATTATTCTTATTATTACTTTTCAAGCGATGCTCGGTCGACGAGTCATTGAATGTATATTGTAATTCAAAGAAAGTATAAATAAGTGATAACAATGACGACCTAGTCCAAGGATATCCTAAGGCAATGAGGGCTGTTTTATAAATCAAGCTCTCAATATTTAGGTCAAGAGAATAAAAAAGCATCTTTTAATTTTAAGGTATCGTAATCTACATTATTTTTAAAAAAAAAATAATAAAAAAAAAATAATAATAATAAAACGAGACACAATTTTGTCATCCGACGTGTGCAAAAGTCTTTAAAACATTGAATTTGAAGAAAAAAAAAAGTGAAATCTCGTACTTATATTTTTTTCTGGCGTATGACGATTCATTTCCACAACCCCCCCCCCCCCCCCCCCCCCCCCCCGGCCTCCCCCATTCAACATGTTTTATATTAATTAAGATAAGATAAGATTCTTTTATTGATCCAAAATAAATGGAAATGTTTTTTGATTGCAATATACATTTTCAGCACAAAAATTAAACAATTTGAACACAAGACATTTATAATAAATTATTTCAAACAGCCATTCAGTGAGTTCTCTTAGCAAAATCGGGGACTTATTAGTTCTCATTCAGATGTGTGACTTCAGAGGGAGCATGCCGGTAAATTCGTACAGATTGGGGAACAAAAGAATTTTTATATCGGTCAGTCCTCGCCCTGATGGAAAGAATTCGTCCCGAACGGCCCGATCCTAAGTATCTGTGATAAAGAGGCTGAGATGTATCATCCAAAATGTGTTTAGTTTTGCAGAATCATCTTTCTTCAAATAGTTCTTCAAGTGAAGGATGTTTAGTTTGTGTTATGTTCCTAGCTTTCTTGATTAGTCGGTTTATGCGGTGTTTAATATCAGACGTTGAATTCCAACACCAGCAGGTAATACTAAAATTAAGCAGGCTTCCAATTGTTGCACTGTAGAATAAGTTAACGACTTGTTTGTTTACGTCAAAATTGTACAGTTTTTTTAGGTAAAACAGTCTTTGGTTGAATTTCTTATACAGCATTTGGCCGTGCTCATGCCATGTTAGCTTATTATTAATGTTGACACCTAAGTACTTGTATGCCTCCACTTTCTCCACATTTTGATTTTTTATGTTAAGATCTGTAAACTGGTGTTTCCCCCTCCTGAAATCAACAACCATTTCTTTTGTTTTGAGACATTCAACTGGAGAAAATTTTCATCGCACCAATTGATATAGCTTGTTACTAAGTTACGGTATAGACCTTCTCCTTCAGATATTAAGCCAACAATCGTGGTATCATCAGCAAATTTTAAGATTGGAACGGTGTCGCTTGAGCTTTGAATATCATTGGTATATATTGCATACAGTACAAGAGAGAGAACGCAGCCTTGCTGTGCCCGGTGCTTATTTCTCTGGTTAGAGATACCTGGTTATTTACTTTGACATATTGTGGTCGATTTGTTAAAAAGTTCAGTATCCAAGCCTGAATATTTAAATTGACACCTAACGAAGAAAGATTCTTTATCATTAGGTGTGGTTGGATAGTGTTAAATGCTGATGAGAAGTCTAAGAAAAGCACTCTGGCATATGTTTTAGGACTGTCCAGGTGATGATAAAGTCTCTCCAACAATAGTAAGATTGCATCCTCCGTACTTCTGGCAGGTTTGTAAGCAAATTGGTGGGAGGCAAGTTTTTGCTGTACTTCATTCAAAATTTCTTTCAGAATTATTTTCTCAAAACATTTCATGATAATAGAGGTAAGTGCAACAGGTCGTAAGTCATTGTTGCACGTTACCTTAATTGTACTGACTGAAAAAAAAAATCGGTCACTCAGTGAGCGTCATGACTGACGTTGAACTCAGGTAAAAAGGTTGAATTTACCTGGACCCAGTGTAAAAAACAACTGCACCCTCGTTTGAGATATTTGACATGTCCAACTCAAAATAAACTGAGTAAATGATGTAAATAGAAGCAGCTAAATAAGTGTTGATGCCGAAGATTCAAGAAAGGTAATTCGTTGCTTCATTCATTCCCTTTTAACTAAAGGTTTTGCAGTACAAAAAGAAAAAAAAGACAATCATATCATTATTGCAATTTTTTTTTAACGCAATTCTAGTTTAGCCATAACCGGGTGTCGACATCCACATTTCGTGTTGCTAGCCATCCTATTCTTATAATGTACAGAGATACAATGAAATCAAATCTTTCTTCACAATTAGCTTTAATTTTGTTGGGTTTTGCCTGCCTTCTTCTTATTCTTCTTATGTCTTTTATATTTTGAAAGGCGCATTTGTTGTCGACATAAGCTTTATTTTTCGTCCTTTTGGTCCCCAAGTCTCTTTATTTTATTATCAATAATTCTACTACTTTTATTTTTTAAATTTTTATATAAAATCGGGGCTCGACTACATATTATTGTATTATTCCTACTGTGGTCTTATTTTCACAAAGCTGTTTTTTAATTAAATGTTATTAAATGTATTAATTTAATAAAAGACAGCTTTATGAAAAAAAATATTTATATTTTCCCCCCACCCACCTCAAAACTATGAAGATGTCAAGCCATGGACGGCAACCAGCAGTATTGCTTATCGGCTAAGGGGGATGGGAGTCAGTCGGGATAGTAGAGTTTAAAGAGATGTGTCTTGGGTGCAGTTTTCAAGGCCTGGCTGGTCGGTCTATTGCGGATGTGTAGTGGGGAGAGAATTCCATTGTTTTGGGTCGCAGAAAGAGAAAGATCGTTCACCGTATGTTTTAGTGCGTGTTTGTTTAATCTAATTGACAATACTCCCTGATTTCACAGAAATATTTTTAGCTATACGATTTAATGAATTTATCTCACTAAGATATTTCTAGAACCAATTACACATATGGACCAAATAACTTTTGTTGGTACCCCATTCCGCTAGGAAACGATAACCACTGCCTATAGTGTGTCACCCTTGCCTGTATCAAGATTAGATCTGGGGGCATTTATTTTATTCCAATGGTCGATTTCAGACCTGGTCTGAAACTAATCGAGACCTGGTCAGTGCTGCCTGGTCAGTGCTTGTAGACTAATCGATGGAGGGCGGGGCAGGGTGGACGGAATGGGGTGTCGTGTTTCACGCTGGACTGGTCATTGGTCAATAGACAAAAGTCAAATCCAGGTCGTAAGGAAAAATGGTGTATAGCCAATAATGCCTACATGTTTCTAATTTGAGGGATTTTCAAATCGACTTTTAATTTTAAACCAATTTAGTAGACAGAAAAAAACAACACTTGTGGGAGACAGAGAGAAAACAACAACACTTGTGGGAGACAGAGAAAAAACAACAACACTTGTGGGAGACTGAGATGAAAAAAACAATACTTGTGGGAGACAGAGAGAAAACAACAACACTTGTGGGAGACAGAGAGAAAAAAACAACACTTGTGGGAGACAGAGAGAAAAAAACAACACTTGTGGGAGACAGAGAGAAAAAAACAACACTTGTGGGAGACAGAGAGAAAACAACAACACTTGTGGGAAACAGAGAGAAAACAACAACACTTGTGGGAGACAGAGAGAAAACAACAACACTTGTGGGAGACAGAGAGAAAACAACAACACTTGTGGGAGACACGGGACTGTGTTCATGAAAACTATTTATGTAGTTCAACTTAAACGTTACTAACTGCAATAATAATTGAGCTGCCTCTTTGTAGATTCTATTCTTAAGAGACGCCTTTAAAAAGATTGTATTTCTGTTGTATATAATCGATGGCCATGTTTTAAATTTAAAATAGTCATATTGATATAATCAACTTCTC